TAATGCGAAAGTGAATGTTTACAAAAGAGTTTAGTGACATCTATTTACTTGAGCCAAAATATGCAGCCACTTACGGACATTTTCGTCTGGTTTTGGAATCACGATATTTGGCGTCATGACACTCACGTTATGACCTAAGAATATTATAGTTACCGTGTAATGCAAAAATTCATGCTTACAAAAGAGTTTAGTGATATCTATTTACTTGACCCAATATATGAATCTATTTGCCAGACATTTTTGTCTGGTTTTGATTGAACAGTAGGCAGGATATTGCCTAATTTGATTGTAGAACTGTCATGAGGCAGGCACTTGTACAGCGACTGGCGTGACATCCTCAAACGCACTGGCCATATGACTGTATCCTATCTTGGGAAAATAAAAATATTCAAAATAAAGTGAAAGGAGAGATGGTAACAGAACTAAGAAAACTTCGCGCTCATTCAAAGTAACGATGATCCAAAGAGAAATGGGACCCGCTCAAGAAAAGTTGCTACACACAATTGTGGGATGATAAAATAACCTACTAAAGCATCACTGCTTTGTCACGTTACGACCAGGCCTGATGGAAGGTTAGGCGTTTAAAATCAATCACTATGGCATGTTCCTATATCAGACATTTTTTTAAAACACTTTTTACTTGGAACTCAATTTGTATGTATTTAAAATATCCTCTCCAAAGCAATAAGACCAAAAAAAAACAAAAACAAAAACAAGCCTGGGTGGCCAGTTTTGACCTAAGGCTAAACGACACGGAGAATGAAATGAGAAATGAATATCCAGAAAGATAACTGGATTCATTACTGAATTAGAAATGACATTTCTAATCCTCAGTTTCAAATATGAAACAGAAAATAACCCTCTATGGGTATTATAGTGTATATTAAAACAGTAGAAAGTGTTGAAGACGCGTCCTGATTAGCTACTCATACTCTGAATATCCTTTACTTAACACCCCTGTGCAGCTTGTGTGGGTTTTCGTTGCAGGTATAAATGATAGAAAATCTTCTTTTGTACTATGATAGCCCACTGTGTTACTATATACTTAAACAACTATTCACCTCGGTGTCGGTAACCCGCGGTGGATATTTACTGGGAGTGAATGTGAACACACGAATAGATTATTTCTGTCGGTACAGTTTCGGTCCTTTTTGTTGAAGGGTAAAACAGGGAAAACTTTTATCTGAATTTCTCCAAAAGTACATCGATTCTGGAGCTGAAACTACCCACCTAGTTGGTTATAATATTCTAGTTTTCAAATATGTAAAAATCTCTGCGGGTAAGCCTCTACTTTTCAAAGGGGCAATTCGCGAACGAAGCTCAAAAATCAAACAAGAGAATTATACCCTTAATTACGGGTAGCTCCCGTCAATGCAACAAATATGTTCATAACACAAGTTTGAGTCGAAGCCTTCCAAATATTCTTTGGCACGGGATTTGCGCTCGAAAATGTTGCATTATTTGCAGGAATGGCTAAGTTAAAACGTCTTTTTGTGTTCTATTATCTCGCTGTTTAAGTATATGTAAAAACCACTAACTCACCTCAGTGTCGATAGGGAGAGGTGGAAAATTTGCTCGCCGCTTCGTGGCTCGGTAAAAATTCATCACTATCCACCGAAACTGAAGTGAATAGTGGTTAAACATCTGTTATGTATTGATGTATTATCCCATTTCACTAGTGTTGCAGACCTCAGCATCAACTGTACCAAGCTTGAATAATACCCTATCCAGCAGTAGCCCCAGTGTGAACGGAAAACCCAGCTCTAGCAGCATCTACAGTACAACTAGCACGACCGAGGAAGGCCTAGGCGCTTCGTCAATGGTCGCCACGTCAACATTTTCTGTCACCACTTCGTCAAAAGTCGCCACCTCATCTTTGTCTGTTACCCCTTCGTCAAATGTCACTACCTCAACATTGTCTCTCACCTCTTCGTCCAATTTCACCACCTCAACATCTTTTTTCATCCCCCCATCAACACCTCAACCTCAGTGTTCTGTCAGCCTAGTGCTTACCTTAAAATTAGGTATGTGAAGTTAGATTCCTTCGCGTTTTTCGAGATTTGTCTTTGTCGGGGGTTGTACAACTCACTTAGGCAAATTAACCAGAGGTACCAGGACTCTGTACTTTTTAATTCTCTAGATCTTCCAAAGGAGTTGACTCCTTCAACAGCGACGCTTCCTTTCTCTCTCTTTCTGCTCTAGCGAGAAGTACCAACGTATTAAGTAGGAAAACCGTAGACATGTTTGGGTTAGCTGACCTGAGTTTCCTTAGTGCATCCGTTTATTTTGCAAAAAAGGGGGAAACTGGTTGGCCCTCACCGAGGTAGTCGTCGAGCACCAAGGAACCAATTGAACGCTAACGGCTGTGCATAGGAATCGCGAGCGCAAACAGGAACATCAGTGTGGGTAGAACTCAAGGTCAGCTTTACCAACGCAAACATGACTACCTGTGAAACTGTCTAACTGTCTAAATTTCTAACACGGTAACAAGAAAATCCCCGAGCTGAGCCAAAATAATATAAATCTACCAAAACAACACGTCAGTAGGCGCAACAGGCAAGGCTCAACAAAACAAAAGGCCTAACTGGAAAAGTCTCAAAACAACAACTTTCAATTCACCTCACAACACATTTAGTACATCTAATTTGAGTATTACAGGAGTTTTGAAATCTAGACTGTTACTTATTTTTATCCTTCAGAGTAGGGCTGGGGAAGCGCGAGGTCTGGGAATGAGGAACGATGATAACACAACTTGCAAAGCGGTCAATTCACGGGCTTGTCAGTGAGCTCCCCAAGCCACACGGGCCGCTCTAATCCTTTACGTGCGAAGTGTGGTCTCGCAAGTAACTCAGACTGTTGTTTTTTGAACAACGACTTGAAAAATTTTTTTGATTTTGCTTTGGCGAAGCCTGTTCGAGGATGCGAAGGAGTTTAAAAAACATCCGGCTCAAATTTCTAAGCTTCAAAAAGAATCGTACAAACACCTCCACGAATTTCGTTTGCTGTCGCTTTAAATGGACGGTTCGTCGAGGAAAGTAATCTTAACTTGTTTTGCCCTTAATCTTCTTCGGTTACTTACTTTTGTATTTAGTGAGGGAAAGATTCAGTTGCCGCCATTCTTCCCGTCTTTTTTTTCCGGAAATTTTTCGCCACATTGTTGGCAAATGTACTACATGGCTCAAAGTCGACATTACGAACGTCACCTGACTTGCAATCGAGTAAAAAATATCCCATGTTACTCGTCACATGTTTGGTTTCAAAATAGTCACGAAATTATACTCCGCTGAATTACCGAAAACACGAAACCGCGCTAACCTGAGCAGATCTAATAAATGCGTCTACAGGAAAATTTTGGAACAACGCGATCAGCAAAATTTAAGCTTCAGCTAACCGTGAGTGTAAATTANCTACCCCGTTCATTTCGCCCTCTTCGCCTTACCTACACTGTATAACCTCAGGTTTTAGGAAAATATAACATAAAAGAGAAAATAATGATAACTTTTATCTCTTATTTGTTACTTGATAATGCTTTTTTTCGTTGTATTTCTTCAGCATGCGTCCTTTATACTATTTGTCGAGATATACCTTGGAAAGACGAGTACAAGGATAAAGCATCAAAGGATTATGAAGAATTAAAAAATTATATATCCAAGCTCGTAAGTGCATAAAATTTGGCCTAGAACCTCAGGCTCTACATAAACTATTCTTAAATTCTCGCTCTTGAGAAGCCTTCCCATAAAATAAGGCAATGCGGACTGCAACCGAACTTCTTCAAACCGGCCACTTAAAAGACAGATAGTGGCTTATCGTATCAACATCACATGCTACTGCTTATTAACTGAATGTTCTCGACCAATCAGATGTTTCATAGTAAGTCTAATGTATAATAATTCACCATATCATGCTCAATAAATCAAGAAATCTAAAATAATGATGGAAAGACAATAAGCGTAAATGTGTGAAAGCAGTAGCTACATTATTGAAATTAATTTCGTTAGGGTGTACATTTTTTCTCCATATTTCTTTGCCCCGTACGCCCTTACAAGTTATGCTTAACTTACCAAAATGTGAGATGTAATATTTGGATTGCATCAAATACTCCAAATCTGAATTGAGTTTTTTCTTACTCATTCAAAAAATGGACTTCAATATGATCAGTTGTTCATAAGATATGTGAATTTCAATTGACGAGTACCCTCCACTTGGAAGACCTCACCACCTCCCCTTTTAAAGGGAACTTCCACTCTTAAACAAATAGTGCTCAAAATGTTCCAAATGCACTTTTCAGTAGATCTGGCGACAAATACTTCACGTTGTTAAAAAGAAAAAGCCTGAGACATTCTTCAGTTTACAACACTGTGGGCGGATTTGTTAAAACATATTTGTTTCCGATTTGGAAGTTCGATCCTTAGTGGCTAGAATGCGAAGGAGTCATTCGCTATGGATGAACATTCTGAATTGTTAAGAACATTTTATTGCAAGTGATGATTCTGATCACCTGCCTCTTTCCTTTTCTTGCTCCAGATTTGTGACTTTTTCAAGCGCTTTGCATGTAAGGTGGAGATACTGGAAGTCAGTTTCTGTAAAGCCCCCTGTGGTGGAACGACTGCAATAGTCAAAGTATGCTTGCATTTGAAACTTGTCCCAACGCCTTTTTATTTTGAAGACGTACAACTCATAATCCCTCTCACGACAAACTACACCTCTGAACCAGTCGGTAAGTGTCGTTTATTTATTGAGAATCGGGCGCTGCGATTGATTAGGGCTTAAATCATATCTTGTAAGAGACGAAATCATTTTTAACAGTAAATTTGTAAAGCTTGCCCTACACCGCTCGATTATGTAATGATTACAAGGGACAAGAGGCAAATAAACTGACACAAAAGAGATACCTTCAATTATCATCCGTTCAATCATACCAGTTATCTTTATGCACTGTCAATAATGTCAACATATTCCTATTAGCTTAATTTATTTACCTTTATAAATCTTTATTTGATATTTTTGCATCTCTATTATTTNGATTTGTTAAATTATTAAAAAATAATTTTTTTTTCAGTCCTGCCCAGAGATAAAAGTATGTAACCATGCAACAAAGATATAATGTAAAAAAAGACATCAATATTTCCGATCATCTATTAACTAATTTGTTCACTTATTCTATCGTTTTTCAGTGGTCGCGGCGGTTTCGAACCTCATTCTGGCCATGTTGATCTCTCTTTCAAGTAATGAATAGTCTTTCATATGAGAATTTATACCTTTGTACATTAATTAAGAGGGAATCGCTTGTGACGCATGGTAAATCTTCTAAATTAATTGCAACTTTCTGTTTTGTTTTGTTTTGTTTTTTTTACAGTTTCTAGGGCGTGCTGAGAGGTCTGGAAGTGTCGATGCAATAAAAAAAAGAAACTCGAAGGTTAAAGTCCAGCAGTCTAAGTTTTTATTTTTTTTTTACGTAGAATACTTTTGTCCAGATTGTTTCAGTATCGAATACACAATACATATATTATGTAGACCAGTTTGTTACTTTATTTACCACTAGTTAGATTATAACCCATGGAATGTATTTGCTATTCTCTCCTATGTTATTCTTTCCTTCTCTGGTAGAATTGTTGCGAACCCTGAAAAAGATTATTTTACTCCGATGGTTTGTCATTAATAGTCTTCGAGACAAAAGTGTCAGTTAGTTTCTCCTGTTTAAGAATACACAGTCTTCACTAACAGAAGATAGGCCTTCGAGCAATTCTACCTTATTTTGTTTCCGTTTGAGCGTTGTTGATCCCTGTAAGATCCTATAAAAATATTTTTGCGACAAGTGGGAAAGAAATTGTCCACTGTTATCACTTTGCTGAGCATTATGGCGCATTCTGTTTTACAGGCTAAAATAGAGATATTGTGTAACGCTATCATAAACACCAACCATGTTGGATAGAACTAGTTTACTGAAATATCATGTGATGCAGTGTAGATTCGCACCGCGTGCGGAGGGACGGATACTACATGTTTGTGGGCATAAGTGTATTTTGCCCCGCTCGCACGCCCCCGAGTGTTAGCAATTTTCACCATAATTTGAAAACTTAGACGGTTTGGGAACCGCGATATCCGGATAACACCTAGTCCAAAGGCTCTCGGTGAACCTTGAGGCTTGGATAGCTCTTATTGGAGTTAAAGGCACCGATCGGATCCAAGCCTTTTCGAGAGATCGTTCGATAAGGCGGAAAAAATCATTGTCATCTGGCGGTCTATACATGACTGAAAACAAGGCTGAGGTGATTGGAAATTTTACTTGTAACCAGATTGCTTCCAGGCCGTTAATAAAGAAATCTCTTCGATGCGTTGCTTGGAGGGGTTCGCTATAGTATAATATACACCCGCCTCCCCTTGCGACCTTTACGGTCAAGCCCTAATGATTTCATACCTTCAATTTGCAGCACTTCATCCCGCACTCTTTTGTCCAAATGCGTTTCAGTAATAGCTATAAGTTCAAATCTGCAAAGTAATTGTAGGCACCTTAGTTCATCAATATTATTTCTTATACTACAAACATTCAGATCCGCCACTCGTATGTCCTTTCTCGAGCTTGCCTCCAATTCCTACACAAGATCTGATGAATAACTCTCGTTTTCCTTTTCTCCATTGCTGGACAAACTAGAAGACCGGTTCTCTTCACAGCATATCGCAGCAGTAAACTATTCATCCGTCAAAGAAGCAAAGGGGAGTTGATGCAACAGTGACAAGTTCGAATCCAAATCTAAACCAGAACATTGCAGCTGCTGTGTAGTGCATTCCTCGCAACTCCAGCTCTTCGGGTCATATATAATTTCGTTGTATTGCTTTGGCGTTACGTTACCACATTTAATGTGATACTTGAGGTCACACAATTTACGAGTGAACATCCGGTGGTTACGAGCGATCGTCCTTGAACATATTTGGCAAAACGGTTTCTTTGTTGGCGATTCAAGGGGGGACGGCCCGGGATTTAGTTGTATGTTCCTACTAATAGCCAGCCGAATCAGTTGAAAGGTCGAGTCCGAATTGGGATATCTGCCGATCCTGCGATGATGAAAGCCTCCACGTGTGTTGAACACCAAACCAAGAAGGCGTCTGTAGAATGGCATCGGAGCGAGACAATGATCTCCTGTGTTGTCCCAGTTTACATTCAGTAGCATCTTTTCATGGCTTAGCTTGTCAGGATCGGCTGTTTCTCCGAGCAGTCTATAACAACTGTTGGGTATCCGGGTTAATAATAAGAAAATGAGTCCAATTGACAGAGCAATGTTCGCATGTCCTTCGTCCATGGCGTCTTAATACTTCCTAATACGTCGACTTAGAAGATAAGATTGTAGATCTTTAATTGAAGCGGAGTTGAAATGTTAATTAAGTTTTACTCAATAACGCTGAAAAAGGTTTCTCTGAACGCGAAAGTGTGAGGTGTTTCAAGTGCGTGTTGGATGATGGAAGATTTTCGCCATCTACTCAAGATGGAAAAGACTTTTTATGCAGGCCTTAGTTAATTGCCTTTTAGAAGATATGGTATAGTTGACCTTAAAAACGATGAAGGACAGACGCCGTCTACTATCAATCTCCTCGTTCGGCTGTCTGTAAACTTAAAATCCTCGTCTTAGAAATGTTCAGAGCACACTTAGGTACCAGATGTCACTCATAACTCTTTTGATCTTAATCTAGAGAAAATTTAGAAAATATCATGGATACTTAACTTCTGAAGTTTAGAATCGTTAGGGTGTTTGTGAAAAGACAAATTCGAATTCTTGGAAACATCATGGCAGTTACAGACGCAATAAAAGTGAAATATTAATAATAATAATTCAATATTTATATTGCGCAAATTAACATGTGGATATGATCAAATGCGCATCACAACACTTTTCGGGGGACTTTAGCCGGACTGCATCAGCAGCTTACAAACAATCAAAGAAAACTTATTTGAAGATGCCCCATCCCCCCAACTCCCAGTAAACAGGCCAGACCACATCACAATAACCTCGTGAGTGGGTTCTTTAACGTCCCCTGCCTAACTAAATTAACTAATTAATAGATGCGAACTAATTAATAGATGCGAAGTATATTCTATATAAATATAAACTACATTAATAGATGCGAAGTATATTCTATATACTTCGCAATTAATTTGCTATATCCGTAACTGTTGTTTACCCATTTCAGACCACGTGACCAAAGAATGACGTATAAAGCTAAAGAGGTCTTGTACAGGTGTAACCGCCACTGTTTTCGTGCGTAAACTTTCAGAGAAGATTTTTTCTAGGAAAATCTAATTAGACTTCACTACAGTAGTTTAAGACCATAATAAATGTAATATTTAACTGCATGTGTGGAGGCGCGGTGGCCTCACGGTTGGTGCGCTCGACTCTGGATTGAGTGGTCTGGGTTCGAGCCCCAGCCGGGACATTGTGTTGTGTTCTTAGGCAAGACACTTTACTCTCACAGTGCCTCTCTTCACCCAGGTGTATAAATGGGTACCAGCAAATTTAATGCTGGGG